ATTCTCACACCATATATAAATAAATAAAAGGTTCATCAACAAATAAATTAAAATAATATTTTTTAAAAAGTGAGATACATTTAAAAATTAGCAGAAATTAATGTTCAAAAAGCCATTAAAAATTAAGCATAATAAGATACATGTTGAGACAGGAGGCAAAGATGTTATCAGAAGGAAAAAGCTGCAAAAATGAATGAAAATCGAAGAGGACCACAAATGGAAGAAGAGTGCTATAATAGCAATAGAAGAAACTGAGAAGGCAGAACTGAAGAAATCCACCATCTTAGGTGGCACACATTAAAGAATTCTGAGATAGCTAATGACTCCAACTGTCACCATCAGAAACATCTGCTAAACCACAAGGTTCTTTACATTAGTTGGACTTGGGTTACATCAAAGTAAAAAGAACTATGTTATAAAACTGGAATTACACAATTGTATCATGTAAACCTAACAATTTAATGAATAAAGCAATCAAAACATTCACTTAAAACAAGATTCAATGATTTTTTTTTCATGGTTCCACTGGCAGAAAAGGTGCAATCACTCACTAACAGACCTTATAAATTCCTGACTTCCTTACTTAAGCTTACCTAGCAGGCCTCTAAAACTGACTGCATTTTAACTAGAACACCTGCAAATCAACAACTAACATTTTCACTCTAGATTAATGAAACTGCAGCAAGGTCTCCCAATGACATTGTAGAAAAGAATGACATTCCCCCTTCCACAGTTTGATATTTAAGTTTATAAAATAAACTGATAATAGATTGGCATTATGAGAAATGGCATACAAAATTATTTATGTACAATAATATAATTATTAGGGCACCATACAAAACATGACACTCAAAAAAGGGCCTGAGCTGGGGGTATAGCTTAATGGTAGAGCACTTGGCTTGCATGCACAGGCCCTGGATTCAATCCCTAGCACCACAAACATTTTTAAAAGGAGCCTGATGGCTGAATTCAAATAGTATTCTCAGCAGAAAGGAACAGGAGCTTGGGAGCCTGGGGGATGTCAAAGAAGAAGGGGCAATAATAACAACAGGTTATCTCAGGGTAAAGAGAAGAAATGCACTGGGAACAAAGATGTTGCCCCATACCCATAAAGTATCTCAAGTAAGAGCCTCAAAATAATATGTAACATTCTGTGGAAACACTGGGGTCTTAGAGGGAAGTAGGGAGTCTTATGATCTTTCCTAAACCCAGATAATAAAGCCTTACAGAAACCCTGTTTGCAGAGCTGTTTATTTCACTAATGTGGGTTTCCTCTACAGATGCAACTCTCCCCCACAAAGGGACAGCTTTTCAGAGCTATTCCTGTGTCTCTAGCCACTCCGAATAGCCATCTGGAAATATGCCAAAGACGCACACTTTGGTGGCATATTTTAATCTCACACAGCATTCAAAAAAAAAAAAAAAAGGACACATTAACTCTAACTTGATATGCAGCTCTAATTAAGGTTCAAGGTAAGCAGAGGAAGGATAAGGACAATAACAAAAAACCAAGAGAACATCATTTGCACTAAGTGCCCCTTAAGGCAGACAATTATTGACCCTGTATTTACATGGGAATTTTTTTGTAGCCTGAAAGCGACTGAGCTAACAGCAAGGAAACAAATGAACATACAATGCCTACTTATACCTAATGAACCACAGAAAGTAATGTCTAGTATTTACTGTGCCCTTACTATTGCTAGGCATAATTAATCTTCACTACTATGCTATGAGGCAGGTACTTTCAATAACCACACTTTACATATGAGAAAACCTAGGCACACAGTAGTTAACTCACTTGTCTGAGAGTCATGTTAAGTGGTTGAGAAACAAATCCTTTCTCTATAATAAATATGTTAAAAATTATGCTTTCATAACTATCTATAATTCTACTACTGTTCTCCTTAAAGGTACCAAAATTTAACATAACAAAACCCCACACTTACTGCAAATAATAATTTTCATATAATTCGCTTTAAAAATATGAAAGCCTTTGAATTCTAAAATTTTAAGCAATTAGTTTTAGCATAAAAATTTTACACTGCTAGACTACTCTGAGATGTTCATCTAATATTTTAATCTACATGATAGTTTATCTCTTTCCAATGAGAAAACTATCAGCATTCCCACCAATAACGCAGCAAATTGTTTTAAAATTCAGAATAAAAAGCTCATCCAATTTTACATCATCTCACAAAGAACAGCATTCAACCAAATTTCTCCATCCTTAGAAGAGAACATCATCACAAATAATCCAAAAACTATTTACAGTTGGCACTAGAATACTTTAGAAATAAACAGTGTGAATGTGATAAAGCAGAAAAAACTCTTGCCTGGAGTCCAGAAACTCTGCCCACTAATCCTGGCTCCAGCACTTAACTAGCAATTTAGTCCCTTCAACTGTTCTGGGCCTTAGTTTCCTGATTTGCAAAACAATCATCTCCATGGCCTACTCTTCCAACTCTAAAAAAAATATGACTCATACACATACATCTTTTCCAAGCTTTGCATTCTCATTCTGTTTAGTTATTATCATTACTTCATAGCCAATAAGCATTATTATTCTTAGTTCTACAACAGGAGAAAACAGACCAATTTAATCAAGGTGAGAAAAGAGTCTTCCCAACAACTGGTTTGCCATAGATAATTCTCAAGGTGAATAATGGAGGAGACATATGTTAAAAGGTGTTAAGTTTCAATATTTTAGGCTACTGTTTTGTATGCCAGTACATTCTCCCTAAGGACAAATAGTAAAATTCAAGGACAATAGGGATAAAAAAAAAATGACTATTCATTAGTTATTCAAGAACTAGAAGGCCAACCAAAAACATTACAGCACCTTTTTGCAGAATTGTTTTTTCTGATGAATTAAAGGGCAAAGTATGATCTAGAAATTTTTGAAAAGTATGTTTAAGTACTCCCTAATCAATGAGCTTTCATTTTGTAAACTGTAGAGTATGCAACAAATATAAGGAATTAGTAATATTCATGATTAAGAGAATAAAAAATTAAACCCAGGCGCAAATGGGGATTGCTGTAATCCCAGCAACCTGAGAGGCTGTGGCAGGAGGATCCCAAGTGGGAGGCCCGCCTGGGCAACTTTGCCAGGCCCAGCAAAATAAAAAATAAAAAGGGCTGGGGATGTGGCTCAGTGGTAAAGTGACCCTGGTTTCAATCCTCAGTACACACACAAATACACACAAAAATTAGAAGAAAGAAAGAAAAAAAAGACTAAAGATCTAGAAGTGTAGTTATTAGCTTACTCTTTTCAGTGAAATGAAGAATCTTCTTGGACTGCCACAAAGGTAGACTCTGTGAACAGCCACTGACTAATCTTGGTAATCCTTGTCTCTGTTCCCAGTCCATTCTCAAAAGTGTTATGTAAATGTAAGATTTTTAAAATTAGAATTATGCATTTGACATAAGAGTCCCAACTGTCAGAACTCAAGTTAATTTCTTGGTAAGCTGTTAGCTTACCAATATCTTCCCAATTCAACACTTAAAATATTTTAAAACTTCTATGAAATATATAGTTCAATTTTGCATGACCTTGTAAAGAAACAAAAGAAAAAGCATGAATTAAACTTCTAGAATAGAAGTTAGTGGCAAATTATAATAGTACAGTTCAGACTAAACACTAAATAGGGAAGTAAGTCACCAGTATAGAGTGTCTGCTACAAGAATTTTAAGGTGTAGTTATAAGAATGTCCAGCAAAACTAGTAACTGAAAAAATACCATCAAATATATACAGACAATTTAATATAAAGGATCACTGACCAAGTCCAGCGACAAGCCACCTATGGGGTTGAAATGCCAAAAGAAAATGTCAAAACCTACTAGTAACTGTGTGATCCCCCAAACCTTTGAAAGTTCAGAACCAAAGATGTACTTACACTGTTTCACAGCATCCTTTAAACGCAACTCCCTCTCCACAAAGTCACTCTGCTTTGGCTACTCCAATACCCAAATCCCAGCACCAAAGAATCTTAAAAGCCCAAATTGCTGCACCGGGGTCTTCCCTGCGCCCGCCTCCGCATCCTTTCCTAACCTACACCTCGGGTTAAACCTCCAGAGATGCTCCAGTCACTTCTCCCATCCACACTCGCTGGTTCCCTCCTTCATCTCCCAGCGGACCTTTCCTCTTCGACCTTGAGGACTCCCCAGATCGAAGCAGTAGAGCCCAAAATGACTTGACCGGTGCCCCCTTCCCTTGAGCCCCCACTCGGTGGCCTGCCCCCGACCCGAATCACGAACACTCTCCTAATACCCGGGACGACCCCCTTTTCCCTTAGGTACCCTACCTTCCTCCAAACTGAAAAGGAATTCTTCAGAAATGCACTGAGAGCCTACTACGCGCAAGCTCCTACTACGCGCCGCGCGGTTTGCATCGGCTCACGGCCCGGGCTTGCGGTCCTCTTCCCGGCCGGCCCATCCCGGCCCCAGGGCCCGTGCCACCTCCGCAGGGTGCGGAGGCGCCGGCCGGAGGCGGACTGCGCCGGGCGCGGGCACTGGGGCAAGGAGAGGTGGCCACTAACGGCGGCGCAGGGGCCGGGGGCAGGCGGCCGGCTGGACTACCGCGGGGACACTCACCGGCCGGGACGCACGGGTCGGCCTCATCCAGGGCACCTGCGGCCAGGCAGGACGGGCCCGGACGGCTCAGTCATCAAGAGGGCGAGTCCGCTCGCCCGCCGGTGCGTCCCGTCCCCTCCGACTGCCCAGCCAGCGCAACCTCGCTTCCTCCGGACGAAGCCCGGAGACCCCAGCTCGGCCGGATGCCCCCGCCTGGCCCCCACCCCCTTCCCCGGCCACCTCCCCCTCTTCCCTCTTTTCCCCTCCCCCATTCCCCCAACCCCCACCGGAATGGAAAATACCTCCCGGGGCTGGGGGCGGGCGGGGGCACGCCTCTCTGAAGGGCAGCCTACCGTGACCAATAGCAGGCGGGGCTTTGGTGGGGCGGGATTCCCAGCGGCCAATCCGGAGGCGTGTAGGTGAAGGCCGAAGGAGGGAGGCAGAGAACGAGAAGGGGGCGGCCCGGGAGCCTGGGAGGTCCGGCCGCTCGGGTGCGCGCTGTGCGCAGCCTCCATTTTGGAGTCGGGCAGCTGCGACGGAGGCCGGGTCCGGCCAGGGAAAGGAAGGAGCCAGTCAGGTGAGAGGGAAGCGGTCACGTGGATTGAGGGGCGGGGTAAAGCGGGCTGCTGCCCGAGAGGAGGGGTGGGTGGCAAAGAGTCATCAGGGCTGAGAGTCACGTGGATGCAGAAGGGCTGGTGGTGGGTTTGGGGCTGGAAGGTCAACCTCAGGTAGGACCCGGGGGAAGTCTTTGTCCCAGCATTCAACTCTCGTGAGGGAGGAGAGGAAAATACTGAATGGAGGGTGTGAGTGCCCGGTAGGAAAATGTGAATGAGTCTCCCTAGCTCCCTCCAGCATGGAGCCACTCAGTCACAAAATTTCAAGATCCACGGGAAACCGGGCACCTCATTTAATTGAAGTATTCCCATTCCCTGTCTCAGCCACCACAAAGATGACTCACAAATCGGTGGGAGGGGTGTTCTGTCATCCTCTTTTTGCTTGTACTTTATGTGGAAGGCCCCCGCCCTAGAAATGGCTGAAAGGGTAGAGGAAGAGAAACAGTTGAGGAATTGTAACGCCCACGGGACTCTCCATCTGGCCTTTTAGAAACCTGATCGTCATTCACAGAGTCACTGGCCACTTCTTAAGTGTTACACATCCATGGTTGCATTCCAAAGTCTCCAAACTAAAAATAGTAAACTAAAAAAACTTGCCTCTGACACCTTGTCAAATTCTCATTCTTTATTTCAGTTTGTGCTTCAAGAAGTCTGAATTATTCTACCTACTAGTCCACCGGAGAGTGCTCCTCCTAAGGCTACCCCAGTGACATCATATGATGGAGTGCAAGGCTCACAGTTTAGACTTTATCTTACGTGATGGTGAACTGCATCCTTCTTGAAGGTTTTTATCTTTCCCCTCAGACCCCTTAACCTATATGTCTTTCTCTTCAGGTAATTTTTCTCAGTCTCTTCAATCCTTATCTTCAGTTTTAGGTGGCTCATAGTCCTACTACTGCACACTAGGCAATCTAACCATTCTCCTGCTTGCAAAAGCTGAATGTACGTACATTTAGTGAGATCCAGATCTGCATATGTGCCTTTTGGACAGTCCACTTGCCTACCAACGCCATGTCCAAATTGGACCTCCTATGCTTTCTGAAGTACACAAAATGTGCTCCTCTATTCCTTTTCTTCTTTGACAATATCGCTGTCCACTCACTTTCCCAAGTCTAGAACCAGGGGTAATCCACCATCCACTTCCTCACTGCTTCAAAATATCTCTACTTGTAGAGTGATCTGGAATGCCCCCGAAGTCTAGTATGTTAAAACTTGGTCTCCAGCTTGGTACTATCCAGAGGTGGTGGAACCTTTAAGAGGTACAGCCTAATAGGAAGTTTTCATTCATTGAGATTTTGCCCTCATAGGAGATTGTGGAACCCTGTTTCTTCTCTTTCTCTTTCTGGTCAGGGTGTGAGCACGTTTACTCCACCACATAGTCCCACCATAATGTGGCGTCTTCATCCCCTACTAGAGGCCTAAAAGTAATAGGTCCATCCTATCATGAACTGAAATCTCCCAAAACCCTAAGCATTTTTTTCTTCATTAGTTGATCATCTCAGGTATTACAGTGGTGGAAAGCAGATCAACATATACTATCCTTTCTTACTTTCTTTTTGTTTATTTTATTTTCATTTGTTCTACTTAGTTGTATATGACAGCAGAATGTATTTCAAATGCCCTCTCCTGTCCATTTCCATTGCCATTTATTCATTCGGCCAATATTTGCTTAAAATGTGCCAGGCATTGTTTGAGATGCTCAGGATATATTGGTAAACAAAACTGACAGTGTTACTGAATAGGGTGAGACAAATGGTATATGAATAAATTAGTAACTAAAGAAAACAAATCAAGGTTGATAAGTGTTATGAAGACAATAAAATAGGAACATCTATCAGAACCTCAGAGTCCGTTGCCCAGCTCTTCACTGCAGTTTCCCTGCCCCTCTTCTCATTCTTTCTTATTTTCAGGATCCTTGGTCCTAATCCTTTCATCTGGAGTCTTGATTTCATTCCCTTTCATCTAAAAGGACTTTCTGGTCTTTATGTTGTTATGTTATAGCTGCCTAAATAGCAAATCTCCCAAATAGATGATAAGCTATTTGAGATCAGAGATCATTCATACCTTATATATCTTTGTGCCCCTGCAGTGCTCAAAGATGAGTATTAAATGAATCAGTGAGTCCCCTGACACCTGAATCAGGATGCCATAAAAACAACTCCAGCCTGTATCAGAATGGGAAGATCTGAAACTCACCAATTTGATGGAATAGGAATGATACCTGGAGGCAGGGGACAGGATTATGAATGAAGTCACCTATTTTGGTACCTTCCAGACCTGAGATTCCACAATGCTATTCATCATGTATTGCAGTAGTTACTTCATAAATACTAGTTTACTTGAGAGTGTCAAGTACATGGGGCAATTTATAAGTATTCTGTTTCAGATGATGAGCCTCAAACCCAGAGAAGTCTGGGTGAATTGCCAGGATAGGCCCTGCAGGGGAAGGTTGCAATTGCTATTTCACTTTGTATTTCCAGGCCCTTGGGTATTGCACCCCAACAGGGAACGGGATGTTGCCAGTTCCGTCATAGTCATTGTAATTAAATCCTAGTTCTGGCAAAGGGCAGTACATAATTATGAAGTATTATGGTTTTTCTCATTATTAGGCACCCAGCTGCCCAGCCCAGGAAACCACAGTAGTAAAACACTGAGAAGCCAAGCTCCTCTCCCAGCTGGCATGAATCAATACCAGGTGTACTGGCACATAGTTTTACAGCTCCACATTCATCAAGATGAGACCTTCTGTCCCTTCTTTTTGGCAAGATAAAATTTTAAGTAAATTGTTAGAGGAAATGTAAAGAAAGACCTTTGCCACCACTTTTGAATCAAATTAACAGCCTTTTCTCATCTACATACCTACTGCATAAACTTTTTTTCAACTTTATCCTTGACCTGCTCACTTCCTAAACATCATTCTACAATGTCTCCTGACATTAAAGGGCACTCAATTAGGGTGAGAGTATAAAACACAAGGAGTGCTTTTACTTTCAAGAAGCTTATCATGTAGACTACTAATTCAAAAAGCATAGTCAGGTTTGACAAGAAGCCTGCCACTTACTGAACACATACCCAGTGCCATAGTTGGCATTTTCACCTATTTTATCTGATTTAATCCACACCACTCTGCAAGGGAGGCTTTATAATCCCCATTTTCTTCAAAGTTACAAAGGCAGTAAATGACAGAACTCAAGAGTTCAACATAAATGCAGAAATTTGGTGATTGTATACTCATACTGGATTTTTCCATACTGGTAGCTGAATTTATATTCAGATTTCACCTCTTTCTATCAGATAAAAATGGTTTCTTGAATAAAGTAGATCTTAAACTGAGCACTGGAAGGATAATTCGGAAGTGATTCTGAGGGAATGGTGCCAAAGAAGGAGGCCAAATTGGCCATAAGCCTAAAATCAATCAGTAAGGGAGATTTTTTTTTTGTTCGGAGATGAGTCATATTATATTCTTCAAGTACCTTTATTGTCTCAGCTACTCCAAATGGGGAAGTCAATCCATGTGGTTCTGGGTTGGGAGGCAGGAGCTGAGGAAGGGTAGGCCAAGGATAGGTGTGGGTTGTTTCAGGAGGAAATATTTTGAATGGAGAACTCCCCAAATGCCGATAACTGGCATACCTAGCAATGCTGGGTGAGGCTGATTGTTACAGGGAGAAGGACTATTTGTGTATGTGGTATTATTGGGGATCAAACCCTTACTCTTGCACATGCTGGGCAAATACTCTGCCACCGAGGTACACCTATTCCTCAACTTTTGTTTAGATGACTCCAAAATCTAGATTTCCAGCCTTGACCTTGCTTTCAACGTTTAGATCCCCATTTTCAGCTACCCACTTCACTTGTCAACAGGGGTCTTACAAACAGGCATCTCAAACCAAACAGGACTAGTGGCAAATGCTTTAACTTAACTATAAGAAAACTCCAAACTGCCATTTCCTTCCCAAGCCTTTTTTTTTTTTTTTTTTTTTGTATTCCCCAGTTTGGTAATCATCATCTACCAAGTCATATACTCTAGAAGTTTTTCAAAAGAATCTTTTCTTCTCCCTCTCTTCCAGCTCCTAATGTCAGTAAGTGATTCTAAAGGACACACACTTCTTTTAATAGGTACTTCCCATTTCCACTGTCCTCATTCAGTTGCATGATTATCTCAGTTGCATGATTGCAAAAAACTCCAAACTCCTTTTTTCATGCTCCAATTCATGCACCAATCTGCCACTATAATTTCTTTTGGAAACCTAGATCTATATGACTTTTAATTACCTGCTTTCATGGGCTGTGCAACTGCATGCAAAATGGCATTAAAAATATTTTTACTTCCACTCTGGACTCCTCTGCTCCCCACTACAGGGAGTCCTGTATTTATTTTCATCTTTCTGTGCTTTTCATCCACTCTTTGCCTGCATTGTGCTGCCTCTTCCTCCACCTAAACACTCCTTTTCATTTTCCATAGGCCTGTTTAAATGACTTTTCGTCAGTGAAGCCTTTCCAGACCTCTACCATAAAAATAGTCCTTCTCCCTGTAACAATCAGCCTCACCCAGCATTGCACCATACATTTATCACACTGAATAGACACAATGGTGAAATAGAACTGGGGAGCTGAGTTAGAAGACAAAAAAATCTAATGGGTCATTCACTGTGCCATCCAATGCAAGTCACAAAACCTCTCTGAGCCTCAGTTATTTTACTTATAGAATTGTAGTAAAAACAACTATAATTACAAAGCTGTCTTCCGATGGGTTCTAAGTACATTGAGAGCAAAACAAACATCTGGTCATCTTTCTATTCTTTCCCCAAAATAGCACCTATCTCTGCCTGTTCCATAGATTGTTTTATGATAGAAATTACTATTTTTTTGTAGAATTATATTCTCCCAATTATTCCCTTAATCATCTTATCCTAATAATGTCTCTTAAAAGACAATCATGACATCTTCATTTCTTTGTATAATTGTTTATTGCCTTTATAGTTAAATAGTCACATAAGAAGGTCTCTGAAGGGACAAAATATATATTTTATATATGATAAATTTTAGAGGCCTTTATTTACTGGATAAAAACTTTGGAAAGCCATAACAGTGCCCTATTCTAGACATTTAATCATATGGAAATGAAACAATAGTTCTCATAAAATATTACAGTGATGAACAATAAACATAAACCTAGATTCTAATCTATATAGTTAAAATGTGCAGCCAATAGAAGATGAGCCATTAGGTAGATGAAAGTTCAGTTTTTAGAGTTCTAGTTCCATGGCAGTCACTGTGCTAGGTGCAGAGAATACAGAACTCAATGAATAAAATTCTTTGTTAAAAAAATTCACAGATTAGTGGAAACATTGTCTCATAGTTTAGTAATTTCAGTGGAATGTTTAGGCACAATGACAAAGCTAAGCACAAGTTATAATGAGAGAGTATCAAGAAGGAATACTGAGGCTAGGGTTGTGGCTCATTGGTAGAGTGCTTGCCTCACATGTGTAAGGCACTGGGTTTGATTCTCAGCACCACATATAAATAAATGAATAAAATGAAGGTCCATCAACAACTAAAATATATATTTAAAAGAGAAGGAACACCTAGTGCAGCCAGCTATTTGAACCAGAAGTCCCACCTTCTTGAGAAGAGAACTACTGAACTTTCTTGACATTTATAAATACGTGTAGCAATCCACATTCTAACCTTTAATGTAATTCTTTATGAGTCAATAATTAAGTATGATCCTCCTCAGCAACACCTTCCAGGGTCTCCAATTTATTTATTTATTTTTTTAAAAAATGTTTTTAGTTGTAGAAGGACATGATACTTTTATTTATTTATTTATTTATTTTTAATGTGGTGCTGGGATCGAACACAGTGCCTCACACATGCTAGGCAAGCACTCTACCACTGAGTCACAACCCCAGCCCCATTTATTTATTTGAAGAAGAAAAAAAGATGTGAAAAAAATAGCAAGGACACCAAAAATACTAGGCAGAAGCAAGGTTCTTGGATAAGGAGAATAAGACTCAGTATGGTGCAGACTTCTGGAGCTGCCTGCTTAAACCATATCAATGATGTGCCTTTGGTTGAGCATTGATTCAGGGCTTTATTTTTGTTTTTGATTAATAGCAACTATAAATTTTATGAAATTGCCATATGACTTCTCTCAAGCTTTTTTCTTTTTAGTATATGTTTATATTTGACCAACCAATATACTCACGTTTCACAAATCAAAAAAAGAAAATAGGTACAGAGTGAAAAGTGCCTCTCTATCCCTACCCCTCCTGTTTGTTTCTCATTGACCCTCATAGGTAGAGATAACTGTTAAGATAGTTTTCTCTGTGTATCCTTCCAATGTTTCTTCAAGAAAATATAAACAAGTCTTTATCTATTTTTTTCTCTTCCCCCTTCTTACATAAGAGGTGGCATATTGTATCCCCTGATTTGCATCTTGCTTTTCCCTCTAGCGATGTATCTTAGAGTTTTTTCCTGTCAGTACTAGCAGAGCTTCCTCATTCTTTCAAACAGCTGCATAGATTGCACTGCAGGATATGCCATAGTTTATTTAACCATTCCTCCATTGATGAACACTTGGGTTGTTTCCACTCTTTGCTGTTTATTATGAACAATGCTGTGATGAATAATAAGGCATGTATGTAAGCAAGAATATCTTTAGAATAAATTCCCAGAAGTCTCCCAAACTTTTTAATAAACTTTAATAAAACCTTCTAAGGAATGTTCTAAGATGGTGTGACTGGGTTTCCAAATTAGAACCTCAGCTTTCCAAGGATTAACTTTCACATTCCAATAAGAGTAGTTCTTCATTCTTGGCCTGTAAATTATATCTTTGTATTTTTTCCAATAAGGAAACATTTTTATATTCAATCTGCCTCTCCTGAAACCAACAATAGTTGGAATGATGTTTTTGGAGAAGGAGAAGGGGAAAGGTAAAGAAGACCCAAGAGAGAATAAAAATATATGATTATGCCCCAGTTAATGAATTGAAAGCACTAGAAAATACCTGAATTTTCTTAATCCATCATACAAAAGTATCTCTGGAATGAGGTCTCAGGGATATCGGGTTTGGAGTAGAGAACTTGTAAAATGAACCCAGGCCAACAAAGTTCTAGTGCTGCCTTCACCCCAGAGTCAGGTACCCCTCTAACATTTTTTTATTAATATCCCTTCTTTTTTTTTAACTCAATCTTTTGAATACAAAAAATATTTGTTTTAGTTGTAGGTGGACACAATAACTTTTATTTTATTTTTATGTGGTGCTGAAGATTAAAACCAGTGCCTCATGAGTGCTAGGCAAGTGCTCTACCACTGAGCCACAACCCTAGTCCCTTAGAATCCCATCTTACTTCCCTTAATAATTCTTTATTTTCTCATAGTCTCTTTTGGAAAATTGGCTTAAGGATTTGATGAAGTGGGTAGATTTTTGTAAATGTGCTTTATAACTGGGTAATGTAGAGTAAGTATTCTATCTTTTCTTTTAATATTTATTCTTAAGTTTTAGGTGGACACAGTATCTTTGTTTTACATTTATGTGGTACTGAGGATCGAACCCAGTGCCTCGTGTATGCCAGGTGAGCACTCTACCACTGAGCCACAACCCCAGCCCCTAAATATTCTATCGTTACACTAATTTTTTTCCCTACCACTGTAGACTTTCTTATTTTCTAGATTTCAGATGTATGAGACCTGAATGGAATAATCCTACGGTACTTAGTTTACAAGAGATCTTTGGGAGAACGCATACAAATGCAGAAATATATATCAGTGATACATCAGTGAAGGCTGCCCCCCCCCTTTTTTAGAGAGAGAGAGAGAGAGAGAGAAAGAGAATTTTTTAATATTTATTTTTTAGTTTTCGGTGGACACAACATCTTTATTTTTATGTGGTGCTGAGGATCGAACCCAGCGCCCCACGCATGCCAGGCGAGCGCGCTACCACTTGAGCCACATCCCCAGCCCCAAGGCTGCCCCTTTAACAATTCTGTACTTCTTAAGAAGTTACCCCAGCTGGGCATGGTGGTATACACCTGTATTCCCAGCTCTGGAGGCTGAGGCAGGAGGATCACAAGTTCAAGGTCAGCCTGGGAAACTTAGCTAGAGCCTATCTCAAAAATTTAAAAAAGGCTGGGATATAGCTAGCTCAGAGGTAAACCATTCTCTCAGTTCAATCCCCAGTACCAAAACAAAATAAAAACCTACACAGCCACAGTTCTGTCATTATTAAAAAAATAAAATTATCTTTTCACATAGAATTTCTCATTGTTTCCATCCCATGTGGATGGATTAATAATATTCTTAATAATAAAAGTCAGTATGGACCACATCCAAATAAGGAGTATTAAAAAGCCTTCCCTTTGGATTTACTCTTAATATTTATTATTCACATGAGAGCATACTTAAAATATATAGTATCAAGTTACTAAAATGTAGGTTAAAATATCATTTGCAATGGTGCCTCTTTTAGAGGAACAAGTTTTTTTAAATTTTTTTTAATTGTATACGGACACAATATCTTTATTTATTTTTATTTGGTGCTGAGGATTGAACCCAGTGTCTCACATGTGAGAGTCAGGCTCTCTACCACTGAGCTACAGCCCCAGCCCAAAGGAACAAGTTTTTTATGGGAAAATATTTATGGCCTCTGAAATTAGTTCTAATTAGAGTGATAGTCTATTAATGTTTTAAGGCATTAAGACTTAAGTGAGCAGTCTTGGGATGAATTAATCTCTGGAAAATGACATCAAAATGTAGGCTCAACATCAACTGGACCATTTTTGAACTGCTTTGGGTAACCTGATAGATATTCTTTATTATCAAGATTCCTTTGTTTCATTACTTCTAAAATTTTTCAAAATTTCAAGGCACTTACAAAACACTTAGCTTGTTCTGGGATATTTTTTGTGAGTAGATGGTATGCAAACAAAAGGTAGAGTGACAGATGCCAACTATACATTTTGCAAAAACATCTTATGCATGTGTAAGCAGAGAATTGGATAACATGAAAAGAGATGTCTTATACAGGTGGCACATGGGAACAGGACAGGTCTTCTAAACTGGATGGGCCTATAAAAACAGGTGTCCTGAGCATGTGTACATCTGTTACACCTGTTCTTCTACAAAGAAATTCCCTCTTAAAATTTGAATAGATCTTCAGAATCAGATTCCAAGGTTGGCTGAGCTTAGTTCAGTTTTCCATTAGTTTAAGAGAGACTATGGGCACCTGAATGGATTGCATATATTTTTGTGGTTCTTCTGAGACTTTAATATTTCCCCTGGCTCTTTATTATTTAGAGTTTAAGACTTAAATCCTTTTACTTGGTCTGCAAAAATAATAATAATAATCTTATAGCATTAAATTCATTGGCAATGTGCTTTGGAGGGAATAAAATTGTGTTCTACAAAAGGGCTTGAATATACAGAATTTCAATGCTTCAAATGATGTAATTTTCTATAATATTTAGCCTGCCATTTTTAGTTTAATATTGGGATAATAGGAGACTTTGAAGAAAAAGCTTAAGAGAGGCTAATTTGCCTGGTAGTGCTTCTGTTCTTTTGTTCTTTTAGAATCTAAAATTAACCAACATCTGCAGTGTCAACAAGGACTCCATGTGGCATTCAAGTTTGTACTTTTCCTAAATAATGCATTTGAAGCAATGTAATCTGAGAGGAATTCTGAGGTAATAATGAACAGAATGCCTTTTATTGTGTAACACTTTATAGTTTCAAAGTGATTTATCAACTAGGACCTTATTTGATCCTCTCAACAATATTAAGAGGCCTGGAAATTAAGTATTTATTATTTCCATTGACCAGATGAGAAAACGGAGGTCCAAAGTGTTAAAGAGATATCATCACAGTCATAAACCGGGTTAAGTAGCAGCATGAGAATAAAACCCAAGCCATCTGGTTCCTAACTCAGTATCCTCTCTTCCTTAGGATCAAGTTATTGACAGTCCATGTTCTAATAGCAGTTTTCAAAATAATAGATTCCACAAGCAACTCTGTAGGAAAATAAAAAGAACTCAATATCAGAAACTAAATAATAAATATGCATGTTTACATTTCAAAAATTTAATGTATTTCATTTGCTCAAATAAGTCAATAGATGTTTTCTATAAAATTTCATTTGTTCCTTTTGTGATTTTCTACTTTACCTTCAAAACAAAACTCTTTTTTCCTTGAGAAATTATACCTCATAAATTTTTATTAGTCATATCTAGAAAATTCAAAAACTTTCCAGTAAGAGATGTTGCAACTAAGAGTATTTTCCTCACAGTAATAAACATAATTTATGTCTACCTGAGTTTTGAAACATTTTGTTTCAGTTTTAACTTCTGTAAATTTCTGTGTCTTCTCAACCATTCAGAATTTCTGGGACAAAACCCAAGGTGGTTAAAACTTAAAGAATGTATTAGAAACATAACTTGGAACTGGTACACAGTCATGAATTTAGAAGGGCCCATTTTTAGTCTAAATAATGTTATTGTCAATCCTACTTTATAGAAATTTCTAGCTGTGTAATATTACCATTTCTCTTTAAAATGTGGTGAAATTCAATGGCTTTCATTTCTTAAAAGTTTGAGACTTAAAAATTATGAATGCTGGCATTCTTGAAGTGGGACACTGTGAGTCTGTAATGTCAAAAAGGTGCTGGCGTGTGTTCTCAAACATTGACAGGCAGATATATTTCCAACAAGTGGAAACACAGGGCTACACTGGCAAAAGGAGAAGCCATCAAGAATCTTAATCATGATTTGGCCCCATCTATGCTGGTTCTGCAGAGGCTTCACAAAAGTGCATCTTTAGGAAGCATCTTCTACCAAGTGGAAAGCTGGCAAGAAGTAGCCTTAAACATTGCTGACAGAGAGAAAGCAGAGCTTATTTAAAACTAAAAACAAAACAAAAAAAAACTTTTCCATTAACTATTTGGATATGTCTCAGGAAACTACAAACAGAAAAGCAATATTTAAATTTGATACTGTCCAAACATTCTTGCAACTCTACCCCTATGTCTAGGATTAGTAGAAATATACTGATCTAACCTGATATGTTCTCTTTCTCTTACACACATCAGCACACCTGGACATAGGAACCATACAAAAAGGGATCCAGAGAAAAGGGGGCAAAGAAAATGATATGGAATGAACAAGTAAGTGGGAAGACTGAGGTGATTTGGAAAATTGGGATCAGAAAGCCTTGGCGGTAGGATCGAAAGTTACACAAGAAGACAGTGGAATCTGTGATAAAGAGAGGGACTTTGTGGATTTGGGGGACTGGTAATCATTATTTAGCAATGACTTAAGAACTAATCAATTAGAATTGGAATGATGGGACTTTGTTTCCACTCACAACCAGGGACCTCTTTGTGATAAGGGAAATAACATGGTCCCTTGGCTATTCTGCTGCTGATTAATGAGCTGGACAGAAAAGTGCTGGAAAGATTCATGAAACTCCCATAGTGGTCCAACTTTTTTCTGCCAGATTGGCTGGGGGGGAAAAAAAGCAGCTGATCATGTCAAACCAAGTTAGCCAATATCTGTATTGTCTGTCTACATCATAAAGCACAATGGTACACACTGTTATCTTGCAGTTCATTATTAGAAGAAAGAATTGGGAAAGTATTGGACCATGCCTATAATATATGAGGTAATCATACAACCCAGGGTGCTCCTGCACTGGCCATTGGTATGTGTCATTTGCACCCTGCTACATTAATGCCTATTCTCAAAATTAGACACAACACTGCTCCTTCTTCATCTCCTTGTTTACATGCTGCTGAGACCATGGGAGAAGGACATGGTCTTGCCAGCTAAATACTAACAGACCAAAACCAACCACACATTGGCATTAACATGCCTTTCCCAAAACACCTAGTCCAAGTACATCATTGCCACAGAAAGAATCAGGTCCCAAAAGGTCATTCTAGGGTGTCTGTGGAGGGTGCCTAGATCTCTGTTACCTTGCCTTCCACCTTTTGGTGGCCATTGGGAGTCTGTGCACCCTGAGAAACCAGATTTCTCTTGTGTGAAAATATCAAGAAAGCCATGAAAAATGGAACACAATGTGATTGTTTCTGCATCCTGCTGAATATGTCCCAGGGTGGAGTGATTCTTGCTTTAAAAAATAAGTCAGCCTTGAGTGGATCAACATGTTTAAAAGACGTTTCCAAATATGTCTAAAACTCTACATGCAAGGACTTAAGTCTCAATTAACACAGCAGATTTAGACTAGAACAGAAGTTGGAAATTAGAAAAATGAAGAGGTATTATAATACAGGAGAAAGAGCCAGTCCTATCAGTAACTAGTTGTGTGCCTTTGGTCATTATGCCCATGTCTCAGTGGCCTCAACTCTAAAATGAGCATTACAATAAAAGGAATATCATTTTAGAAAAAAAAATTCTGAGAAAAACTTATTTATGTCCTTTCTCTTTCCCAAAGATGGCTCTTTCTAGATGTCTCCGTGTGTCTGCCTCAAGAGACATGCTTTGCTTCTGAATATCTACAGAGAAGAATAGGGTTTGAGGAGAGCCATATTGCCCCAAACTAGAAAGGTCTATGATTCCAGAAACAGCAAGGACAGCCTTCTACTTCTTGGCAGTACCCCTTGCTATGTATGCCTCAGGGAGGCGGGATCTTTACTAGAGTCCTCTTATCTGGAAAATAGCAGAGGGTAAATCCAAAGGGATCTTGAAGATTGGGACTTGCCCATGCGAACTAATGGGGAAGAGCCACCCAATGTTCTAGTTCTTCTTAATGTCACGGTCCTCAGTGAGAATACAAAGATACTCCAGGAATGAACCAAATTCAATTTCCTGTCATCCAGCAGGGAAATCAAATTACCATACTCTAAAGATCTTAAAAGAGCCATGTGGTGAGATGACCATTAGTTTGATTAATTTGTGTCTCTTTATTACATTTTGAAAATGAGCCTAAACAAATCTTGCATACTATAGAAATGTGCTTTCTTCGAGCTCAATTCACCAAGAGTTGCTATTTGTTAGCCATCTGTGTCATGTTTTTCCCACACCATCCCTTTGTGTGCCCTGTGTTTCCCATGGGGGTGTTTATTGAGAAAGATTGGTAACATCTTGAAAATTATCAGGTGCCCTTTCCCAAGTCCCTAAACATTTTCTTCCAAGTTGGAAAGGAATATCTTTCATGCCCTATCTGGTGTCAGAAGAGCAACTTAGGGTTACACCACATAACCAGAGGTCTTTGGTCCTCTCATTCTCTGGGACTACATCTGTTCTTGGAGTTGATGATAAAACACAATTTTTAAAATCTCATGCAATTTTTTTTATTGTTGCTGCTGTGGTTTGATGGTGAAAGGCATATTTGTAGTTCCAAGACTATGTTACAGCTGGAAAAGAGGCAAAATACTTAGTGCAAGGAAAAGCCTAGCACAGGCACTGACAGCTTCTTTCATTTCTGAAAGCATTTATTTGACATTCATATTCTCTCTCTCTCTCTCTCTCTCTCTCTCTCTCTCTCTCTCTCAAGAAGACATAAATAATTGCCATGTTCTCTTAAGGTTATTTTCCTGCCTATGGTTTGCTTCTCATATTAAATATTTTAGGAGAAAAAGTAATGTTTGTTTTGTTCTTCTTCTTTTTTTAATTTAGGGAGCCTGTGTTCTTGATTCAGTCAAAATAATGTTTGGATCACTGTGTTTCATGCCAAATAGGCTTTCTCAGAACTTGGAAAACGATATAAAATGCTACCCACATCTTCCCTTTTCTCTTATCTTTCTAAGATCTCCCATTTAGCCAAGGCATCATCATACTGGAGGGACAAAGGCCTCTCTCTAATCCATGACCTCCTAAATCTGGTGAACCTCAGTTGTTCAATGATCTGAACTTTCTCTAAAAAATAACACAAATTGTCTTTTCCCAGTAGAAACTACTTAAAATTCTCAAATTTATTATTTCTTTCTTCATTCGATGAGAAATAAAAGGAAATCATACAAAGTTTTCAGAGAAATTACTATAATATAAGGAAATGTAGTTCTATCCAAAAATAAAAAAAAAGAAAGTAAAAAAAATAGATAAATGTTGAAGATGGGAACAATATGAAATCTTACTCAAGTAGATCCTTATGTTCCAACCAAAAGCTAAAAAATGAAGAAGAGCTCTAAAAAATGGTAAAGGAATACAGACAATAGAGAAAAGCAGAGGAGTACAGAAAATAATCATAAATATGTAAGATAATAAATCAAGAGTCTGAGATGATTCTTGATGAAATCTCTTTCAAATTGAAGTTTTTAAATAAAGTATGAGATTGAAGAAAAACTCATTGCTAGAAAAGGTAACAAAACAAAATCTAGTTTTCTTTTTCTTTTTTGTTAAAGCTAATTTTGAACTCAGAGCCTTCTAAGACAAGGTCAGCTCATTAAAAGCAGCTGAAATGAAGCAAAGTGACTCAGGTGAATATATTACATTATGACTTTGCCACATCTGCCCCATGTGCCACGGAATGCTCCCAAAGGCAAATATCTTGCTTTATGTGGTCTAATTCCAAAGGGGAATGATTGTTTAGTTAACCCTGTTATATATTTCTGTGCAACAAATATCCCAAAACTTAAAGCTTAAAACAATAGCATCATTATTGTTCCTTTCTGGCAGGAATCTAGATGCAGCTTAGCTGGTTCCTCCTATTGGGTGCTGAGTATCTCTTCTAAGATTGTAATCAAGGCATCAGCTGGTTGGTTAGCCACTTAGGTGGTAGGATCCATTTTCCAGCTCACCCAGGCTTTCAATCCCCCATCGGCTGTTGGATGAGGACCTCACTCCTTCCATGGTTGTTGGCCAGAGGCGGCCACAATTCTATGCCATATGCCATGAAGTCCTCTCCTAGCTTCCAATGCATTGCATTCAGCTTCTCTCCAAGCAAATGTGTGAGAGAAAGCCAAAAGAGTGGGCAAGGAAGATGGAAGTCTCAGTCTTTTGTAATCTAATCTCAGAATTGTTGTCCGTCACTTTTTCAATGTTCTCTTTATGAGAATTTACTAGGACCAGTACACACTCAAGGGAAGGGGATCTTATAAGGATGTGAAGACTGGGAAGCAGTATCATTAGGAACCATCTTCAAAGCAGCCTACCACATCAACCTTAATTGTATAGCATATAAATAGTACACTGCCGTCTCAAGATCAGAAATATTTTCTTCGGAGGAAAAATGCTCCAAAAATCTATATAATTCATGCCTTTTGCCTTCATCAGTAAATGGTTCTATTTACTAAAATGATTCATGTGCCACTGAGAGGTCCAGACCTTCTTAGCCAATGATCAAGCCATTTTAATCAGTGAAGGAAATATTCAGTCACATGTCTAATTGGAATGCCAGCTCTGTGAAGGCAGAGACTTTATCTGTCTTGTTTTCTGTTGTATCTCCAGTGCCTACCATAGGGTTTGACACATAGTAGATGAGGTTAAATGAATTGCTTCAATTCTTTTTATCGTAGTCTACTATGATGTCATGTGTCACAATTGTACTTCACTGACTTAGAAACTGAGCATCAGAAATACTTGCCTTTGTATCCAAGAGGAGAAGGAAGAGATTGGTATGACTTGGGGTTTTCCAAAGATAGTTACAGCCAGTTACCAACTTTGTAACAACCCAGGGTTTCTAATAAAAGAACCTCTAACTCCATTTTTTCACAAATGGAAAATGGATTTTTTCCTTCAACAAATCTCATTTCTGTGGCATATTACCCATTATTCAAAATTACCATAAAGGACCACAGTTGTTTTTTTTTTTTTTTTTAATCAAACCTGATTTTAAAAATTACACAACATGGGCTGGGACTGTAGCTCAGTGGTGGAGTGCTTGCCTCGCATGTGTGAAGCACTGGGTTAGATCCTCAGCACCACATACAAATAAATAAATAAAGGTACTGAGTCCAGCTACAACTAAAAATAAAAAGAATATATTCTTAAGGTATAAAAACATAGAAAATTATCAGTAAATTCTCTTTCTTTGACCTCAGCCCCAGTCCCACTTCACCTCCATATATAATGAATTTAATAGTTTCTTAGGTAGCCTTCCAGATATTTTCAGTTCTAATATAACATGTATTCTTTCTTTGCACATATGGTATTATAATAGTGTTCTACCCCTTGCTCTTTTTTTTTTCATTTAATAATATGTTTA